TTTTTTAGTGGCTTTATACTCAAGTAAGCACTTAAATATGTGACCAGCTTTACACAGAGGGTCACTGTTGGGAACTGTTCACACAAGTAAAGACACTTATGGGATGAGGATTAAAATCCCCAGTACAAATAAATACTGTGTTTATGACTCTGCACTGCTTCTTAGTAATGTCAGTGGCTTCCTGACAGAGATAAGCACAGCTGGCAGGACTTCAGTGGTTAGATAACAGAACAGAAGCGTTGGGTTTAATCTGCTTGTGACTCTTGCTCTTCCTTGTGACGACATTAAGATAAATAGACACAGAACTCCAGAGTGAAGCAAATGCAAATAAGAAAGACACTTCACTGAATGTAAGATCTGAAACTGCTATAAATGATTTTCCTCTCACTTTCAGGTTGGTGAAGCAGTCAAAAATGTTTTGTGGTCTCATTTTACATCACTGGAGAATGGCTAAATTGACAGAACATGATACACTCTCCCTTTTTTTTTTAAGATGTATAAAGAAATTAGGAATAAAAATAAGAAATCCCCACAGCAAGCATGAGATGGGGATAATGTGTTAGACTTAAACTGCTCAACAGTGACAAAGGTAGCTTGGATTAGTTTCTCTGTAGCAAGGAATTGGGTTACTCAGTCATAAATTTGCAGAGTTGAAGAAATGAAAGCTGTAATAAGAGTGTCTGGTAGGTAAAATGGAGCATTTATACAGTGTCTTACTCAGTTTCCAGAGCAAAGGAAGAAACTCAGGTTGTCCTGTGAGTCCATCAATAGAAGACTCTGTATGAGCATGTTTTCATGTCTTGTTGGAGTGGAGAATGTCCCTTGTTCTTCTTAATTCTTTTACAACATCTGCTAGTTTTGATGTGTATATGTTTCAATAGAAAACTTTTGATCCAGCTTAAAAAGCAGAGTTTAACAGTTATTTCCAAGCTGACCTTCTGTGTTCAGGGATTTTGTCATTTACATGGCATTATATCCCTTGCATGTGTGTTGGGGTTTGTTGTGGGATTTTAGTGGTATTAAGGTCAGATATTCAAATGTAGCCTTAGGAAAAACATACTCATCTTGTCTGTACCAATTTATCTAAACAAATCAGGGAGTAATTCCTGAAATTATTTATAGGAATCTACAAACGCCTATTTTTGTGTTGAGTGTGTGAACTGTCCACATTATAGGACTTTGTTTAAAAGCTGTTGTATAGATTACAAAAATCAGAAGGAAAATATATCTCAATTGAGATAGATATATTTGAATTAATGGACTTAAAATGAAGTGGCTTGTTTAACATGGTATTTTTTCATTGAAAACATTGTACTGATTACAGTCCAGGACATTTCCCATCTCTTGCTCACATGCTTTTGTGACTCTTGTTTCTGCCTGCATACATCTTCTGTACTGGAGAGTAGTTGTGACTTCTGCATGAACTGTGGTGAAATTATCAAAGGTTCGAGCTGTGAAAATTTTAGAAGTATGACCTCATTTTTGCTCTTAGATTCCTGTTGCTTGTGGCTGACATGTTTCAGTAGTGTTTGAAAATAAAGGTGCTTTTTAAATGATATAATTTTTCCATATCCTGAAAAACATCCAAAAATGTGGTATTAAAAGTATTTCTCTGAATTGCTGCAAAGTATTTTTTTGGTATAGAAGGGTTTGGGGATTGTGCTTGTTTGTTTGTTTGTTTGTTTGTTTTTTAAGGATTGCTTAATTGGAAAGCTACATGGCAACTGTCTGAAATTTCAGGCAATGTTTTATATTCATTATTCTGTGACCTAAATCCATTCCTCTTCTCTCTTGTGGATGACTGGCAGTTTCTAATTTAATTTATCCATAATCTTTCACAACTGAGAATAAACTTTGAATTTAATATATTCTTTTGTAGTATGGTAATATGTAATAATATGTAATAGGAACACGGGAGGAGAAAGATCATCAGATTCTAAGGCTCAAGAGAATTTGGAGCATTGTTAGAGAACTGTAGAAAATGTTTATGTATGCTGTTTGCAGAAAACAAAATTGGCAGCCATTGCCCATCCTTCTTGTCAAACAACGTATTATGAACTTGGACTTGACATGCCCCATTCCAAGTATTTTCCTCTGTGGATCAATTAAGATCTGAGCTTTTTCAAATTTCAGGTATTTAAAAAGCATTAAGGGTGGAATGTTTGCAACAGTATTTCTTATGAAAACACTAATTACATTATGTATGTGCCAATTTAGCAGCTTTTATACATCTTGAATATATTTTACTCTCTGGTAGTGAAATAATGTGTATACTAACCAAGGGTGAGATTATTAACTAGTCTCTCTTACTTATCTATGGCAGGCTTAAAGATTCCTAGAGCATGAATTTAGCTTGGAGGCTTTTTTTGTTTGCTCTTTTTTGTTAGGTTTATTTCCATTGTCTATCTTCCAAACAGGAAAACTAGGGCATCAATTCCTTTTAGAAAGGGAACATTGTTACTGAATTGAAAATACTATACTTGCCATAGTCTTCTATCAGTTTCTTCACGAACTCAAAGAACTTATGCTTATTTAATGAAACAAAGGCTTTTAAAATGAACAGATTAGAGTGCAAACCTGTAGAAATTAGAAGATTGTATTGCTGACTGTTCTTCCACTAACATCCTCTAATGTCACATGAAAATACGACTAGTCTGGTTTCTTCATTTACAATGTTTTAAAAACTAGATTTCTTTCATGTGCTGTTGTCAGTAAAATCTGGTTTCATGTTTGATTGTACCTTAGTCAATAGATGTTATTTCCCAGTTCTATTTAGTTTGCTGTAGATTAATCTTAAAAGTATGTACAACTTAAATGTCTTATGTGCGTTCATAATTTTTTCTTCTGCCTCTGTAATGAAATGCCACTCTGCAATTTTGTCTTAATATTTTGATGGTCTGTCATAGTCACAAAACTTTGCAGACATTTATAGGCTTTTCAGTTAGAAAACAGTTCATTGAGATGTGACTGTGTAAATGTAGACCTTTTTTGTCAGCCAAAGAGAGTGACAATTTTCTTTTTTCACTTTTCACTCTTTGGTAGGATTTTGCCTTTTGAGGAGTTTTCTCTATGTTGTCACTAGGCTGCCCAATATTTGTAAGTGGGCACATTACCAAATAAATGTCAGTGTATCTGTTAACCACTCTTAATGGCAAATGAGTTAATTTTTAAGTTTCTTAAGGCTGAAAGGAGACAATTACAAAAGGAGACCTTTGCAGCTACACAGAAAAAGGTAGCAGTGCACAGTGCCAAGGATGAGGTTGCATGAGCATGTACAGAATAGACAGGTTGGGTTAATATCCTTTGACAATGTCTATTTAAAAATAGGCAAATAAATTATAGAAATACTATGGTGCAAACAGGGCAAGAGAAATTCAGGCAAGAAGCAGTGTATGGAAGAGAACAGGATCTAGTGGGGGCTAAATATATAGGACATAGAGGGTGGAAAAAGATAGGATTAGTGGAAGTAGATGGCTTACCCAATAGGAATTGAAGCTGAGGCCTCCACATGTAGGATAAAAAAATCTGTAGAGAAACTAGTAATTTCACTGTGGCTGGAAGTGGATTCAAGAGGAGAGAAGGTCCATATGGCAGGGAACGAGATGTCCACAGAAGCCTTGGCACACTGGAAGGGCAATGCAGCTCTCTGTCAGCGGCTTAACTGTGGGTGCTGTTTATTAGTTATCTCTTTGTTTAGTGGTGGAAATGAAAAGACAAGCAATGCTGTCCATGTCAGAATTCCTTATTAATTGTGAAGATAAGAAAACAAAGCAGTAGTTCATTTATTGTGTTATCTTCTAACTCTCCAGTCTTGAAGCACGTATCATTTTTATTGTGGCAAGCGGTAAGTCTCACCAGAGAGTGGTGGACCTGAGGCCATTGCTTTCTCTGGCCTTTAGAGTGTTACCTCAGACAGGTCATGGAGCTGGTTTGCCTCAACTGCTTCTATATGTGAAATGAAGATGATAATAATATCCACTTTTGTAAAGTACCTTGAGAAATACAAAAGCTGCCTCTTCTGTTTTGCTTGCCATCCTGTTTATGGATTAAATTGTCTGTTTTTAAAGAAAGGCTAATTAAGTAATATTTTTTTATATAACATGATTTCATGCCCTGTGTAGTTTCTATTCACCAAACAATAAAGACCTATGTTCAAGTTGTTTGAACTCAGCTAAGGACAGAACTCGTTACCTGGTCCACAGCAAAGGTGCCTCAGTGTAGGACCAGGGTAGACAGATAAGAGGAAAAAAAAGTGCAGAGACCTGACGCTACTACATGGTAAAGCACCTTTGTCTGCTTCCAATGGGTTGTTTCAGGCAAAAAGGTTTAACCCTGTGTTAATATTGGCTCAAATTAGAATTCAGAAAAAAACCCAACATCAGCTCACATCAGCTGATAAGAAGGAATGTGAAAATTCCTATAGGATCTCCATATTAGGCAGTAGATAAAGGAGAAATGGAACACAGTATTGACATTAGAGAAAGCAGAAATAAAGAATGAAAAGTCTCTCTTTCAGTCATTTGGGCATTTTTTTCTTGTACTAACTGAGAATTAAGGATCAGGTCTGTCTTTCTGTGGGCATCATATAGAGGTCCGGTAAGGCACTCACTGCCAAAACTGCTTACAAACTTGGGGCATACAAAAAACCCACACTCTGTTTTGAAATTCTATATGTAAATGAGTATCTGTCAGAGCATCAGCTGGAAATATGATTACTAGTAATACATTAAGTTATATAAATTTGTGGTTATTAGAGCAGCATGGGTTTTTCCTGAGGTAGGAGTAGTAATGATATTTTCTTAACGAATCAATTTGTATATGCAGAGTGTATTGATCATTAATCTCCTGCATCTTTTATAGAAAATAAATGCTTCAATCCTTGTCCTCATCTGAATAACAACAAATTTCCTGTACCATTTGCCTTGACACTTTGATTAGACTTTGCAGAGAGCAAGTTCAAAATACTCAACATAATGTATCAATTATTTCTCTTTTTACAGAGGGAAACCAAAGGTCAGTTTCTTATAGATCACATCTGCAACTATTACAGCTTGCTGGAAAAAGACTATTTTGGCATTCGATATGTTGACCCTGAGAAGCAGAGGGTATGTATATGATCTCTGACTACATTTGCTTTTAAGTAATGCTAAATTGATTTTTTTTTTCAATAAACATGTAAATTCTGATGTAAAGTTATGTATCTCTAAGGGTTTATGCTCTGGTCATAATCTGTAGATGTTCCTAATGTGTCATTATTAATTTAATTTTCCCCTCAGTTAATCTATTTAGTTTCAGGTAAATTGATACATTCTGATTTGTGTAGTTCTCCTGGGCACTTGAGCTAGAAATGATCTGTAAGCATGAATCAGAGTTTACACAGAGTAGCCCTGGGCTCTGGCAGTGCAGTGGAATCTGGGATTTTTAGTTTTCTATAGAGTATGCTGGCAAACTCTATAGATATGTAGGCAAAAATCCTATTAAGTTTTACAGCTAAAAGCAGAAATTCTGTTCCACTCATCACAGGCTGTATGGACTTAAAATCTGTAATACACAAAGCAGACATGATTTGTCAAGTTGTGTGGGATTCGTCAGGTTGGTTCTCCTTGTGAGCATCTTTGCACTTGTGCAGTAAAATGTATAGGCCTGTGCTCTAGCCATTTGTGTGGGCAGTGATTAGTCATCTTTCCTAGGAGTAAGACAGTCCTGCAGGTGATAGTTTATAGGGGATTTGCTACCCCTATCCCCTGCTTGGCTTCAGATGATTTTTCCTTTTTAAATGTGGTCAACACAGGAAGCAGAATCCTTCAGACAGTGATATTCAGAACTGCTTCTTTACTGTGTCATCCTGCTGGTCCCAAGATTAAGACTTAGATATGACTTTAAATATCTTGGGGACGTATACTGGCATTTAATATCTGGAAACAATCACCAGATACAATCACTGCTATAAGAAATAAAACCCATTTTGCTGAATATCTCTTGCTACAACCTAATTAGTTTTATCAAAAAGCACCAGAATTTGGGAATCACCATCAGCTCAACCTTATAGAATTCCAACTGCCTTGCAAAGCTGCAGCAAATCATTTCCATTACAACCCCCTTTTAAAATGAAAATAATTAGCAGTTATTCTGACCAGTGTTCTTAATTCTTCACACTCATAACAATTATAGAGATGTTCACTTGGTTGGAATTGATGGAAAAATTAGGTGGAGTGCTAGATTAGAATATAATTAGGTAGAACTTAATGAATACTTCTGTTGGGCCTTTCTCTAACATCACTCAAAAATAGCTACAGAAAAGTTATTTTACTTAACAGCAAAGGGGTTGTTTTAGTAAAAAATCTTGGTTTTTTTTTTCCAGTTGGAATACTTTAAAAAAGTTATGCTTCAGAAAAAGACTCTAAGAACTCAACCCCATTGTGATTCTTATTGTAGCCTACCCTATGTGGTTCCTCTGTTTCAAATTCTCTGCAGTGTCTTATCCACATTGACTATACTGTTGTTAGTTTATATCTTGTAGTATATCTAATTTGGTGTTAAGTTTATGGAAGATTATAGCTTATAATGAAGCTAAAATTTTCTCTTGGTTAGCAGCAAAAGACAATTTGAGAAACAAATTATGTTCCTAACTAAAAAACCTTAAGTCTTCATTTCCCTTTATATCGAACAACTGAGAATACTGTTGTCATTCTGAGTAGTAGTATGGCTTGTACCAAGAGTTATTATAAATACAAATATAAAACAACTTATCAAACTTACATTTTCCATACATGCATTTTTAAAAGCTCCCATGAAATTAAGTAGATGGATAACTTCTCTTGGGTATTATTTCTTTATTTTAAAATCTCTTGTGAATTAGGACAGGCTTTATAAGGGACACTTCTTTATACAGACTCAAAAACTTTGATGATGAGTTGAAAGAAACATACTAACCAACAATTTCCTAGTAGTCTAACAAACATGAGACTTTATGAATAATTATGTTGGAGCTTAGGCATTGTAGCTAGATAAAAGTTCATCAGTAAACGGCTCATGTCATGGTTTAGGAACAACACTCCCCAGTTTAATGTTCCCACTGAAAAGAAAGTGATAATTCATCCTGTACCAGTTAACTATGTGTGTGACATACTTCAGTGCCCCACAGACCATTAAAGAGACGTGATACAATGTATAAAATGCATATTGACTGGTCTGGTTTTAGTGCATGATGTGACTATGATAAATAAAAATAAATTTATTTGCCTCTTCTTAGAATTATTATTCAGAAAAGTATTAATGTTTTTACACCCCATTGAGATCACACCCTACTATTCTGATCTAGAAATCTGCATTTAAGAAAGATCAATTTAACTGAGGAGGGAAAGAGGAAAGAAGGAGAAGCCGTATGAGAAATATAAAGAGAATGGAGAGCTTGTTTATGAGATGATATTAAGAAGGACATAACCCATTTAGTGCACACAAACAAAGGCTAAGAAGATATGGATATAATAATTTTAAGAGAATTCTCTATAATTTTATGGAAAGAATTCATATTAAACACTGACAAAGGCAGAGACCAGTCACCATCTTCTGAAGGTTCTTCCAAACAACATGTAATCAGAACTGCAACCAGAAAGCATAACTGTTTTTTAGGAGACTTAATATTGATTCTGATGTGGATAGTGTACTACTCATGTTGCTTTGTCTAGTTTTTTGAAAGTGCTGAATGCCTCTGCGGTAGTTTATATGCAACTGTATAGTGTCTGGTTTTGTACAGAAATGGATATATCAACGGTTCCAAATGAAACTGCCGAAATCATGCATTTAATTCTGGCTTTCAGTGAATTATTCTTGATTGGCTCTTTGAATAGTTAAGCTATATGACATAATAGTATATTATTATATAGTGTACACACACGTACATACATATATATAAAATATTATGCATATTTATTCCTGCTGGCATTTAGTCTATTAGTGATGCTTGCTCCCTTTTATTCTTATGAAAATTTTTTTTTGCAAAGCTTTCAGAGTTGCTCCAAAAGCTAATTTACAGTCCTTTTGTTTTGTAATCTATTGAGGGAGCTCAAGCAGGCAAAATTACCTGCTTTATTTCACCATAGATGTCTTCTTTCAGAGTATGCTACTAAAATGTAGCATTTTGACTTAGGAGTGTTGAAATGTTTGACTGAGTTTGAGAATTTAAAAAGTGAGCTGTTTTAATACTTTAGATGCTTCAAATGAAATGTTTCAAAAGTAAGTTTTAAGTAAATGTTTCAAGTAAGTTTTAACATATACACTCTTTCCTCACAGTCCTGCTTTTATAACAATCCTTTCCTATTACGTAAGTAAATATGTGTATACATTTTGGGCATACTTAAACCTTTAAAAATTTTCTATAATTTTGCATTTTCTATTCTACAGCAGAAAAGAAACCCTGGGAGACACAAAAGAAGGCAGCATGGCAGCTTTTTTCATATCTTTGGATATATGGGAGAGTAACAATGACAATGACATCACACTATCTAGCTGTTAAAGACTCCAGGTTCTACATCATGTCTGCTGTTTTATCTTTTAGCATCACATTTGGATGTTCTCATAGGGAGACTGTGCCTTAGGACGGATTCAAAAATGTCAGGACTGTACTAGTAGTATGCAGTAAATTGCAGTATGCCACTTTATGTGTAATGATACTCCACTGGGAACAAAGGAATTCCTAATGTTCATATATTAACTGTCGATTTTTTTGTGTGGATTTCTGGGAAAACTAAATATATGGGATCACATTGCCTTTCTCCCTGACTCTCAGCTGTAGTAACTTTTTTAGCCAGTTTTGGTCAGATTTGACTAGGGAAGTCATCATCTGCCTGTATATGGCATTGTTGAGGCCATACCTCTAGTGCTGTGTTCAGTTTTGGGTCCCTCACTAAAAAAAGGCCTTTGGGGTCCTGGAGTGTGTTCAGCAAAGTGCAATAAGGCTAATGAAAGGTCTTAAAAATATGTCTTGTGAGGAACAGATGAGATAAGTTGGGTTTGTTTAGTCTCAAGAAGAGGAGGCTTGGGGGGAACCTGATGCTCTCTGTAACTACCTGGAAGGAGATCATAATGAGGGGGCGGTCTCTTCTACCATGTCTGCAGTGAGAGGACAAGAGGAAATGGCTTTAACCTGAGACAAGGAAGATTCGATATTAGGAAAATTCGATATTAGGAAAATTTTTTCACCCTTAATGTGGTCAGGCATTGGAATAAGTTGTCTGGGGAGGTGGTGGAGTCACCATCTCTCAATGTGTTCAAGGGGTGTCTGGATCTGGCATTGGGTACTGTGGTTTAGGGGTTACAGTGGCAGTGCTGTATGGATGATGGGATTGGATGGTCTTAAAGGTCTCTTCTAACCTTGATGATTCTGTGATTCTGTATAGTTCTCAAATGTTAGGTTCCTGTGTGGTTACATAAAGGTAAACTGCAACATGGTGGTTAAAACCCTACTTTTATTCTGACTGTGGGAAATGTTGTAGAGCAAACCCACTCCAGGAAATCTAGAGGTAGTTGAAACAGAGACACTGTAAGAACCCAGAAACCATCATTTGGAGCTTGCACTTTTTAGCAGTTTCAAACAGGAAACAGAGCTGGAGGAGCTGTTAGTGATTCTCCTACTCAAGGAACTACTTACTGATATATTTTAATGTATTAGATACTATATTGGGACCAATTGCCACACTCTTAACCTCGAGGAAATGCAGCATGGTTAATTCTGTGCCAGATACCCTGGGTTTACTGAGCACCCCTGTTTTGTGTTTTTTTTTGGACTGGTATGAGGTGAGAATAGAATGATATAATGCATCTGTTCAGCATTTGTCACTAGAGCTGATACCTTGTTGGAGGTCATTTATATTGAGGGAAATGGAGGATTGGACTGAAGGAAGATGTTAGTGTGGTGAAATATGTTCTTTAAGTCTCTTCAGGAGGACATCTGAGCAGTGATTTAAAGTTGGAAGTATGTATTTCCTTTTTTTTTTACCCCCAGTGGGTTGGTCTGAACACATGTTTGTGATTATGTTTTTGAGTGTGAAAGTATGAGGTGGTAGTTAGACAGAAATACTTTGAAGGTACCCATAGGATAGGTTGG